CAGAAAAAATAATAACTTCCATTAAATTACTGCTGAAAAACATCTTCATCTACTTTTTCTGCATAAAAAGGGACTTGGCAAAGTATCAATTATTCAATTTCCTCAAGTTTTCTTCACTAAAGCTGAACCCAGAAAGAAGACAGGAGCAGAGCGGCGCTTTTGCCAACAGAAACTTAAACGCTGGTATCGGTATCATCCTCGAACATCCATCACCAGCCCGGTTCTGGTCCTGACAAATATCTAAAGCTGCAGGATGAGAAGCTTCGAGAAATATTTCTGTTGTTTCTCATCCAGGGAAAATCGTATCCCAGCGTCAGGGAGTGAAAATGTGAGGTGGAAACTGTGTGTGTGTAACAGAGAGCAGATGGTTTTCCTGAACGTAAAGCTGCAGGCACGAACTCACTGGAGAATAGATGCAAATCTGCACACACACACACACTGACTGCACACACACAAATATGCAAAGTGTTTCTGCTCTTAAGTTTTGGGATTAAAAAGGTAAAATGAGGCAAACTGATGAGGAAAACAGGCATCATAGCATCATCTCTGCCTGCAGGAAAACCTCAGCTCCTTCCTGCAGGTTTACTCATGCAGGGCTCAGCAGCTCAGGTCCTGCAGGCGGGACACTTTGTGGCGCTGGCACCGCCAAACATTTGGTCACTCACTGCCGTCCTCGACTTTCTGGCCCGGAGAGACGATGACTCAAAGATTTAAAAGCTTTCATATCTGGACTTTACGACGGCCTGGCTGCTCACACGTGTTATGAGACAGTTCAACTGAGTTTAAGGACGATTCAGAAACCAACATTGCCAGCAGGTTTTTTCATCGTGGGGTCTTCAGGTTTGCAGCTCAGAGCTGAATAAGTTTGTCATTAAGAACCAGACTGAGCCAAACTGGTGCTGAGAGAATGAAACTGATTATACTGGTTTTCCCTGTGTAACATCTTGTCACTTGTGAACTGTTTAGGGCCTACGTCCTCATACACCCCCTTATATGGTCTTTCTATCCAGTTTTTCTCAAGATGGAAATCATATAAAACTGCAAGGTTTCATTTAGAAAGCGACATTTCCCAGATTTTTCTTTTCAAATAACAGTTGTTTAGCGTGGCTAAAATACGACCGAACTAACCCAGGTGTTTCCCCAGCCACCTGATGATGTTACTGTCCTATCAAAAGTACTCAAGTACAGTACTCAAATGGAGTCACGAGCAGTGTTGGTCAAGTTACTTGAAAAAAG